GAAGGCCTATAACTGAAGGCCTGGTCAACACTTGGCAGTACAGAGAAGTGGTGGCACTTACAGGTGGTCCCAGGGTCACTGGGGGAGATTCCTAGACATGCTCTCACCAGAGACCAACCGTGGGTCCGCCCAATCTTAGACTCTGAACCTCTGAAATCATAAGTGAAAAGCTCTCTTTGCTCCGTGGTGAGGAGGATTCACTACAGGGTACCTCGTCACAGTGGTGGAGAGCCCCAAATCAAAAGGGATTCCTTCTGCTGAGCCGACTTCGAGCTGGGCATTGTCTTCTCTGATTTTGGTCTCCAGCTGAAACATGCCAGCCTCCAAACCAAAACCACAACAGGCTCTTGGACCTCAGCTTGCTGATGCTGTCTTGGGATGTGTCAGCCTCCGCCATCCCAGGAGCCATTGGCTTATTCGCCCACACCCTGTGGGTGCTGAGTCTCTGGATCATAATCGTTAAAAGAATATGCTTTCTCACAGTCTCAGCAGAGGAGCAACAGTGACCGGCTGCTGGAAGGGAGCTTGGCAAAGCACAGGCCACTGGACAGCGTCAGCTGGGCTGAGCTACATGAGGTGAGGCCCCACACAGGGGAAGGTCCTGGGCAGAGCGCGTGTGACATCTGGACTGAAAGGTCATCTCGCTGAAGTTACCTGGTTTTGTAAAAGCTACACAATGAACAGCAAACCACCTGTACCATTTCACTTGCCATACAGAGACCTTCTCCCAGAGAGACCGTCCCTCACCCTCGGGGGTCAACACCCACAAAGCACCCAGTGTCCCCCATAATAAGAAAAATTCTGTAAGAAGAAACAACACCACAGATTTTTAAGAATAAAAAGCTCCTGGATTATCATAAATGTAGCCAGTCACATCCTCTTGACCTTGGCAGGAGGAAGCTGTGCTGTGAAAAAGTAGTCCTGTTCCTCACAATAACTCCCTGAGATGGGAAGGTAGGCAGGTGGCCCTGCTGATGACGTACGCTGCAGAGGCACAACTGCACTTGGCCACATCCCCTGGCGGATCCCCTGCCCTCTGTGGTGATAGGCTCTTCGGGGCCTACACTGTCCTTCCTTCCTCTGCACCCTTCACCTCCGACGCACCAGAAAAATGCACCACATATTACGCGCACTGGACTTCACGTTCCTCAACGGCCACACGAGCGCTGCGACCACTGCATTCATCCTCCTGTTCACTGAAACGTCCCCAGTGCCGAGGCAGCATTGCCGACACACAAGCAAAGGGAAGTGGCGGGTCCACAGGACACACTTCTGCGTCCAGTGAGGACTCAGATGGTCCAACCATGGGCTCCATCTCGTCCATGTCTCTTCAAGAAGTAAAAGATTGCCCTTAGCCCCCACTGCCGCACACTCAGCCTCCCCACAGGCCTGCCCTTATTTTCTTCCCTGGCAATGGCCAGGGTTCCTCCTTCTGAGTGCTGCTAAGCCCTAATCTCAAATACGTGACGTTAATCACTTTGAATTACCAGTGATGAACGGTGATATTAATATTACTGGACAGTGGCGCATCCTCATCAATGTTTATAGCAGCTCAATTCACAATAGGTAAGCTATGGAGCCAGCCTAGGTGCCCTTCAACAGGTGAATGGTAATGAAAATGTGGTAAAAATATACAACGGAATATTACTCTGCCATAAAGAAGAATGAAATTATGGCATTTGCTGGTAAATGAATGGAGATGGAGAATATCATGGTAAGCAAAATTAAGCTAGTCCTTAAAAACCAGAGGCTGAATGTCCTCTCTGATATGTGGATGCTAACACACAGTAAAGGGAAAGGGGTGGTAGGGTTGGATTAGACAAAGGGGAATGAAGGGAAGGGAGGGGGATGGGATTAAGACAGTGAAATGAATGGGACATAACTTTGCTCTGCTCACATATGAATGTGAGACCAGTGTGACTCCACGTCATGTACGACCACAAGAATGGGATCCAAGTTGGAGCGGGTTGCACTCTATGTATGTATAGTGTGTCTAAATACACCGACTACCCTGTATATCTAAAAACAACAAATGAAAAAGTAGATCATGGGGAAAATTAAGAATAGTATACATAGTGCTTTGTGCATATGAGAAGGAAATCTGGACACTTTTGAACATAAAGAATCAACAGTTCATTTTTGGCCTAACAGAAGATGCATATAAAGCAGGGAATTTTAGAAAGCTCTTTCAATCTGCTCCACAACAGTGCATCCAAACCTTTGTTCAGGTTTCAATACTGCACCAAGTGCTTTAGGATGAGGTGTCTGTTTTGCTGTTTTTTTCTTTTTTTTTAGTACCAGGGACTGAGCTCAGGGGCCCTTGACCACTGAGCCACATCCCCAGCCCCTATTTTGTATTTTATTTGGAGTTGCTTAGTGCCTCGCTTTTGCTGAGGCTGGTTTGAACTCTGGATCCTCCTGTCTCAGCCCCGAGAGGTGCTGGGACCACAGATGTGCAACACGGGGCCTGGTGGAAGTTTTGCTTTGTTCTGTCCAGTACTGATGTACAGGATACAACTGGAGGATCAAAACATGAAACCCACAGCATAGTCAAGTCTACTTAACGAACACTTATTGAGCAGCTACTCTGTGAGGTCTTGGAGGGAGCAAGAGGATGTCCCCAACACAAGGCCATGCTCCCCAAGGGGCAGAGAGAGGAGGGCACCGTTCTGCCCAGCACGTACAGGAGGAGAGTGGCTCAGGACACTCATTAGGCAGATATGAATTCCCAACTAAGAAAGTCCTAAATCAGAGTTCAACTGAAGAAAAAAACTGAGACCAACTCATCTATCCTTCAATTTATATGATGGAACAAATGAATTCAGGGGAATTCTTTCACCTGGGAGAGGCGACAGCCTTTCAAACGCCTCTGCTAGGGGCATGGGTGTTTAATGTCCACCTGCCCATCAGTCCATCCATCCACCTTCCCACCTGCTGTGTACCAACAGCCACTGTGAGCCGGGCTGGGCCAGGCGGACACGAGCTCCTGCAAACACATTGCCATAGGCATCTCCTCCCCACAGTTCCCCAGTGTCACACTGCCCCGTGCTCACGGAAGAGAAGGCCTCCAGGGCGGCTGCTTTCTCCTCCCGCACACACCTTTTCCTTGTTTACACTGGTTGTAGCGGATGCTTGCTGAGCTGTCTGTCTAATGCCTGGAAGCACATCTACGCTGTATCCTACACGGCGACCTCCTGTATCACGGCACCGTCGCGGGTGCTCAATAAATCATTCCCCTGAGTAGCAGCAAATCAATCCTGTTCTTAGAAAGAAGACACAAATCACTATCAGTAGCACCTTCCCACATTCTCAAAAGCATCTGGCCTGTCAGAAACATCCAAAGTCCTCCTGACACTCTGGATGGGAGGACCAATTAGACCTTCCTGAAACACCTAGTCTAGCTCAGCACTCTACATGCCAAGATGCAAACGCCAAGCTCCAGAAGAGACAAGACAATCTGAGACTGCAACCCGGTACAAGCCAATGAAAGCTGAAAATCCAGAGCCCGGAAGGACACGGTCTGCTTTCAGCGACTGCAGAACACCAGGTCACAGCAGGCTGAAGCACTCAGCTGCCTACTGTCCAACTTCCCTCCAGGACCTTCTTGAGGGAAATACCGCCCTGGAGGAGGTATGCAGGACACATAATCCAAACATTGCTCTGGAGAACTAAGTCTGCTCTATGGACCAAGAAGTTTAGAGTTGAGCCAGAATGTTCTGATTGTCCAGAGAGTTACTTGGCGTAATGTCATGCTTTGAGCCATGCCCTGGGCACACTTAGGGAAGTCATGAAGACCATACTGGGAGGCTCACTGGGGACTCACCAAAGGCAGGTCGCCAGGACACAGCCTTGGGTACACATGAGAGCCACAGTAACAATTATCCCTACCTGTCAAGGCCAAGCTTGCCCCTTTCCTCTGTTGAATGTTTCATGTTTCCTTGTTTTCAGTTGTAAAATTCACAACCAAATTTACAGTCAAGTTTGGATAGCTCAGGTAGCCCACACCTCTTGCAGGTGCCCCCCATGACCCTTCATAGAAGAGCCCCTGTCCCTCACCTCCATCCCACCCTCCCCTTCCTGCCTCTCCCCACTTGCTGGTTTGCCTTGACCACCCTTTTTGGCCTGCTGGTTCATTCATGAGTTTGTCCTGTTCCCTGCCAGTGAGTAACCACCAAGGTGGCACTGCTTCCACCGGAAGCCCCAGCAACCAGAATACCACCTGAAACAGGCACCTGGTAAACACTTCCCAGTGACTCCAAGGAAGCGCCAAGAGCTGTACAAAACTCCATGCTCTGCACTTCCAACTCCACCATGAACTTGAACTTTGATTCTAAATTATATTTTTCCCTGGTTCTGACGTTTGTCATTTGTGCTTCTGTCTTGAAAGTACTTGTGTAAGCCAGCTTAAGTCGTTTATGAAGTGAAGAAGGAGACAGCAGACGGACAGACAAGTGTGAATAGGTGGAAGGGTGCCCTGTGCTGACGGGAAGTCCAGCTCAGGACACGAGGCGCTGAGCCAATCAGTGTGACCTTTCTTCGGAAGCTGATGGCTCTTCTCCTAGCCTGTGTGGATCTGAACAGATGATGCTTACTATTTAAAAAGGGCAGTCTGTGGGGAAATCTGCCGGGCCTCTGTGGCTGTCCCCACACTTCCCACTGGCCCACTGTCTGCTGAGGCCTCAAGCAAAGAAGGCTTTGCTTTTCACCACAGATGCAGCCACACATCCACATCATGCTCCTTTTCATTCTGAAATGCTTTGAAATGAAACAAATGAAGCGTTCCTAGAACGTTCTGAAATATACTGTGCTCCCCCGAGCCCTGCCCCTAGAGAGACCTACTGAAGATGCAACCCTGTGATCATCAAAGTAGGAGAAGATGCGCCAGCTTAGACCAGTTCTGTCCCAAGCTACCCCCAGGCAAGTTAATGCCCAGGCCACATAAGAGGACAGAGGACGTGCAGTGACACAGGGAGCAGGGGTTTCCCAGAGGGGACCCTTACCTGCTTCACCACGGTCACTGTCCCAGGTGCCATGGCAACCACGGAGGCAACGGCGGTGGCATCGTGCGTCTCACTGCCCAGCTCGATGATCTGCTGCAGGATGTTTACGGCCGTGGGGTCGAGCCGGTCACCTTGGGAGGAAGAAAAACACAGAAGACCATCAGGGCCTATGAAGGGCACCCACGGCAAAACTGGACCCTCCCCTCTGGGCGCTTCACAGGGCCTCTTCCAAAGGAAGCACGGGTTCTCCATAATTGCTTGTTTTGACAAGAGAAATATGTGTATAGTACTTTAAAGCTTACTAAGCATTCTCTCTAGAAACCTTTCAAAACCTCGATGAAGAGACAGCATTGTGCTTCTATCCCCATTTCACAGACCTGTCACTGAGTCACCAAAAAAGAAAAAAAACAGCCTCGAGAGTTTGCCTCTGCCACTGGGGCTCTACCTGCAACCTTTCCAGGGCCAGAGGCCTTGCGCCAGACTACCCCTGCACTCTCAAGGCCAGGCCATGGTTTTCGAGGCGGGTCCATGGACGAACACCATTCACTCACAGTTCACTCATCCAGGCCCACTCTGGGTGTCCACAGACTTGCCCTCACCATTCTCAGAGGTGTATCTCAGGTCCTGGAGTGCAGCCACAGCTGCCTGCGTCCCCTGAACATCTTCTTCGGCCTCTGTGATGTGGAGATACTGGGTGGAGGGCTCCTCAGATGTTTCTGTTGCTGGCTAAAATAAAGACAAAACCTAAGTGATCTTCTAACAGGCTGACCAACCCCCACGGGCTTTAAGACAATGTACTGAGACAAAGCAACACTGACAACATCTCATTTACCTAGCTTTCCTGAGAAATCAGTTGCTCCAATAAATAATCCCAAAGAGAAACCTTCTCTTTGCAAGTACCAAGATTTAAAAACCAGCTCTGGTGGAAGCTTCTTGTTCCTTGTTCTTGCAGGAGGAAGAGCAGAGGATGCTGCTCACAGTCAGAGAACAGCATGCTTATTATTCTTGCACATGCACTACCAGTGGCTTCCCCATCTCCTCCCATTGCTACCAATGCCATGATGAATCTGCCCCTTACACGGGACCTCAGGCCATGGGGCTAAGAGACGCAACTGAGCAGCCAACAGTAGGGAGGAGGAGAAGAAAGGGGGGGGGATGGGTAAGTACACGACATGCAGAGCCTGGGTGCCAGCGTGTGGGAAATCCAGTGCATCCCAGCTGTTCACGCCATTCTGTTAGCTATGTGAAGGTATGATAAACAAAACTCCCTACAAGACAGCCATCTGTGCTAGATCAGCACTTATGATGGGGAAGGACGTTCACAGGTACAGAGAGGGTCAGCAGGGGAAAAGTGGGGAGAATTTTCACAGAGCTGGATAAAAGCAATGGTCTCCTTCAGGTCAGGCTGGGCATGGGAGCAGAGCTATGAGGCAGGATGCAGGACTGTCACCAAGGAAGGAGAAAAAGGAAGACCGCCGAAGAGGCTTAGAGGAGCCACAGTCATGCTCTATAAGCACTCGCTGGGAGCTGACGGAGGCCGGCAGGCCAGGCACCTGTCCTTTCACAGCCAGCTGGCCAGCTCCATTTAGGTTTTTCCAGGCTGACCCAAGAGACTCCCAATAAATACCTGATGAATGCAGAAATCAACAAAAAGAACGGCATTTCCCTTAGGAGCCACTGAGCCATGTCTTAGCTAACACTGGACCCAGGCCTGCCTGAGCCTGCCAAAGAAAGGCACACACATGGAATGCCACCTCATTCTGGGGACTGCATATTAGTACAGCGCTCTTTGTTTTTGTTTTTCAAGAGAAAAATATAATTTTAATGAAAGAAAAGACATTTTAGAAATTTATTTATAAAAATTTGACCTTCTAAAAAACTAGGATTTTTTCCAAATATAGTTCACTTGAATAATTTCAAGACAGAATCCTGTACCTGCCTTTGTAAGGCATTTCTGAGAGCCAGAGAGCCCAAACTCCTAGAATAGGCAACATGTTAGTCCCTGGCGACCACAGGGCCCAGCTTATTGGCTGCTCGACTGTCTCACTTGTGGGGTCAAGGATAGGGCTTTGTGTCAACTGCTTTTGCTCTGCATAAGGTGGAAACTGCTAGAAGGGAGGCCTGCTGCATTCATTGACCAGTGACCAGTGACCAGGATGGAATAAGCTTTACATCACAACCAAGCCACATCTCTTTAGTTCAAGAAAGCAAATCCTTGCAGCATGACTCTGAAACACCAGGGGATTAGCCGTGTCCCCACAGACAGAGCCTGAAGCTGAGGACACTAGCCTCACCAGCAGTACTCAGGGCTTCCTCGGGCCAGAGGCAAAGCCCAGCACTTACACAGCCTTCTCCAACCCACTAAGCCTCTCAGGCATTATTAGCCTACTGTTCAGATGAGGACCAAGGCCACAGGTTTAACAATAGCTCGAGGTCAAGCAGTTTGTAGAAGATAGAGGCAGGACTCAAAGTCTGTCACTCAGAAGTTCATACTTAATTTAAAAATTACAAAAAAAAAAAAATGCCAACATACTCAAAAGCAGAGAGAGGAGTGCAATCAACCTCCATGTACCCGTCACCCAGTCTGACACACACCCACACACATTTCATGCCCTGCCCTTGGATTATTTTGAAGTGAATCCAGGAATCATCTTTTCTTCTATAAATATTTTAGAATGTATCTAAAAGCTAAAACTCTTCCAAAACATAAGTTTAATTCCACTGTCACCCTCAAACACTCAGCAATAAGCCCTGAATATTATTGGTGTCTAGGTAACATTCAGATTTCCCCAATTATCTTTAACCAGCTTTAACTGCTGGTTCAAACCACACCTGAGTGAAAGTCACTCCTGAGAAGTGACGGTCCATCTCAGAGGACTTTTAAACCCCACATGGGCTCTCCTTGCTGGCCTTCCCTCTGGGGACTGTTTGTTGAAGCAAGAAGGCAGTGCCTCACAGGTCCAATACCCTGACCGGCCGAGCACATCACCCTGGACAGTCAACCTGTCCCTCCGTCCCTAGTTGCCACCAGCTGGGAGTATGATGCTGAGGCACGATCAGAGCAGAGTCCCCTCCTGGCACGAGTGCTTCAGGGTGGCACCGCACGTGCATTGCGTGGCTCTCGTGTGTAGTACTGGCAGTGACTGACACTCCCTGCTGGACCCACAGCATCATTACAAGGTTGCAAAATTGTAATTTTCTACAGGAAAAACTTCCCCTCACCAAATCTTTGGTTATGCTCACACTGGTGGGTTTTTCATTTTTTAAAGGTAAGCTAATTGCTTATTCCTGGCTTTTATTACCAACTTTCAAAATAAAGAGCTGATTCTCTAGCATCCTATAAAGGTGACTGAGCTGTTTTTCCCAAACAGCACTATAAACTTATAAAATTAAATGTATTTTATGTATTCCACTGTGTTTACTAAGTACTAATAGCTTCAGAATAACAGTATCATCCCTACCACCAACAACAGGAAGTAATGGAAAAGAGCACAATTCTTTTTGCCTTTAGGTTATGTCCCCTAAGGAAGGTACAATCCAATTACTGTTTTAAAGGCTCTCAAAACAGTTCCTGTCTCTTGTTATGCCACCAACTTGAGGAATATCTAGCATCATTCATTTCCTCTTCTCTCGATGTTTAGGACTTTCTTTTTTGTAGTTTAATGTTTATTCCTATGTAGCATATGTCCATGATGTCAGAGTGAGAGCCACACCCCAGGGTGCTGGAGAGGCAGCCCTCCCTGTCCTTCCCTCACCTTCCCCGTTCCCTATGCATAATGCCCACCTCTTTATTCTCTGTAACTACTTTATTCTGAAGTAACTGTGGACTTAAACAGGAGCTGCATGCCCTCTGAGTAAATTAGGCATTATTAGCCTAATCTTCTAATGGTGACGTCTTTCCAGGTCACCGCACCACTGTCAACACTGTGCCGCAGTCAGGCTCTGCCCGACTCCACTGGATCTTCCTCATGTTCTTGCTCTTCCAGGACCCTCCCTGGATCCCATGTGTGGGTGTGGTACCAGGGCCGTGCACGTGCCAGGCCAGCGCTCCACCGCAGAGCCACGCTGGCAGCCCATCCCACAGGAATTCCATCGCCACGTCCCTTAGTCTCCTCCAGGAGGGGACAGCTTCCCTGGTCACTCATGATCTTGACAATTCTGAGGAGTCCAGGCCTAGCGTGTGGATGTGGGCATGTCTGATGGTTCTCACAGTCTGAGAAGAAAAATTCTGTGAAGCTCCTTCTTGTGACATCAACCAGTTGGTAAACAGTGTCAGTACATTTTACTACTGATGATGCCAGCCTCCATCCCTTGTGTAAGGTCCACAGGCTCCACTCTAAAGGAACTTCCTTTCCCCTTGCAATTAATAAATATTTGGGTGGAGAATTCTTGAGGTTATGCAAACATCCTATTTCCCTCACACACCTGCCTGGTGGTTTCAGCAACCTCAGAGGGAACTTGTCCACAGCATCACTCCTGAGCTGTTTTTCTATTTCCCCAAATCTGTCTACATTTATTAGCCAGAATCCTCTATGAGGATGCATAGTCCCTTCTCCCCCATTTATTTGTTTAATCACCTATTTATATCAGTGCAGACTCATGAATACTTCATTCTTTGGGTTATAATCCAACGTGGTCAGTATTGATTTTGTTACTCAATTTTCAGCTTCGGCCACTGAGAACTCTTTCTGGTTGCCTCCCGTTTCCTTCTGACATACATCCCCTTTTCATCCTTTCCTTTTCTGTTTTGTTTTGATCACTGTCTGTCTGGAGCACATTTCTAGTACCACATATGCTCCAGAATCCTCTTATACATTCTCTGCCTCAGCCCAGTGATCAACTACATTCCTTATCAGAGAATGTTACTAGACACTAAGACCTGCGCTGGGCGTGGGGATGCATTCCTGTTACCCCAGCAACTTGGGAAGCTGAGGTAGGAGGATAAGAAATTTTAGGCCATCCTCAGCAACTTATTGAGGGACTCAGCAAAATCATGAGACCTTGTCTCAAAATAAATACTTAAAAGGGCTGGGGATGTAGGTCAGGGTTAAAGCTGCCCTGGGTTCAATCCCCAGTACCAAGAAAAGAAGAAGAAACCAAGACTGGTCCCTGGTGTGCTCATTGCTTGAGTATCACTGATTCCAGGCCCTCTCAGCATGAAAGCCTGAGAAATGTAAGGCTGCATACTAACCACGTCACACACCGGTTGTTCATCGCTTATCTGAAATGCTTGGTAACAAAAGTGCTTCCGAGTTCACACTTTGGGGATTTTGAATACATGCACATCTACATCTCTACATAAAATGAGATATCTCGGGGTTGAGACCCAAGTCTAAACATGAAAGTCATTTATGTTTTATGTCCACCATACACAGAGGCTGGAGGTGGTTTTGTACAGTATTTTTACTGAACCTGTGTTTGGACTGTGACTCCTCAAGTGAGCACTAGATGCACTGCCATGGCCCCTCTGCTTTCTGGGGTGATCCTGAGTGCCAGGGAACACGGACAATGCTATGCCTCGGACATTCTTGGTTTACTCAACAGATGCCCTAGGGAGGGGCGATGCAGTAGCTAACTGGTAGGAAGAGTCCCACAATGCAGCCAAACATCCTGTGAGCCCCAGGACAGCCTTCCACAAGGAAGACTCACCCAAATCAAACGTCAACAGTGCTGAGTCTGAGAAACCCTGCCTGTGTCCATGGAAATGACACCTGGTATTTGAAAAGAGGGCCAGGTGACTGCTCCAACTCTGAAGGGGAAAAATGAAGGCAGCAGGAAGGGGCACCAGCGCCCAGGGAGGGAGAGAAGGTCTGATCAGGAAATGGGGCCTTTGCAACTCTTTCAGTGAGGATGGTACATGCTCCCTGCCTTCCCTTCTCTCAGATGCAACATCTGAAACTCTGGATTTGTGAACAGAAGAATTAAAAATGTCAATGCAAATATTCACAGAAGAGTCTAACTTCAACCCAGAAGAAGAATGTATACATGACCCAGATCCTACACAGCTGTACCCCAAGACACAATTATAAAAGGTTTCAGAAATTTCCCAATGAGCAATCTCAATGCCCTGAGGATTGGTGTCTGTGCCCAGTTATACCCAGTCTGTCATTTGGTTTAGAAATGTCAAAATCAGGACCATACTTTAAAAAGTTACCTCCCACTTGGGGTCTCCATCAATTTCCACCACCTTCAAGCCGTGTTTGTTCTTCAAGTGCCTGTTGAACTCCCATTTGGTGCCATACACAAAGCTGCACACGGGGCATTTCAAACCACCTGTAAGCACAGACAGGTAGAAGGTGTTCATAACATACAGGAATGTCAGGCTCCTCTCCTACCCACCTGCCTCAATACATGTCTCCAGCATTTACATTCCATCAAAGTTTACCTGAGCTTTGGATCACAACAGCAATAGTGTGTATGTGTTTTTCAGGGTAAAAAATTAAAACTTAGTGTACTTTTCTCATTTACTGAAAAAACATATGCAGAGACCCTAACAGTGCTTGATATTTTAGATGCCGGAAAGAAATAAAATGAGTAACATAATTCCCTTGGCTGAATGGATAAGTGGCCAAAATCATTCTTTCATGTTTTCATTTGCAAATGACAAATAATTTAGGGGACAAAAACAAAAGTGAAGGGTACTGGCTGCTGCTGTCGATCTCCCTTGAACCAAACATGTAAGACCAGGACAGGAGTCAGATCCTCAGTCTCATTCACACTAGAAACTAAGTCATTGGTCAAATTCTCACAAGAATCTCCCAGCAAAGAACCAATTAAAAAGCTGGTCACATTCTGAAATGTCACTATTTATTGAACTGATTGAATTTTGCACATATTCCAGGAAGTGTTTGGATGCTTTAATTAGGAGAACATAAAACTCGAGGTTAAAAAAAAATTTGGAGTTACACAAAAGACTGTCTTTCTAAATTTCTGTTACAAACAACAACCAAATTGGACACTGAACAAAGATCCCTTTGAGCAGTTGGGCTTTCTGACACAAACCACAGTCCCGAGATCAGCCCAACTCTACCAGCCAGTGACGCCTGCTGCCACTTCAGGGCTTCCACCAGGGGCTGGGTGGGCCTGGGCACACCTGGGGCTGGGCGCCTTGCCACAGTGCCCCTGGGTTCCAGCTGCTCACTCCCCAGTGGTCAGCCCCTCATCCTCTTCTGCCCTTTATTCTCCACTGGGACTCAGCACCTTCTCCTTGCCATCATTACCATGCCATGTGTCCTGGGATCTCAGAGCTCTCAGGCAATGACCCCAGCAGGGAGAACCTGCTTCTTCTCCCTCCATCTGCATGCACTCTGCTAGGTCCCCTCTAGAGGGAGCTGTTCATGCTCAGGGGTCCCAGATAAGGAAGAGGCCAGGCCAGGGCCATGCCATCTCACCTGCTCACTTTCTGTCTAGATATCACCCTGGCCTCATTATTCGCCTCTTCTCTTTCTCAAGCTCCAGCTAAACTTACTGGGTCTTCTCCCTACCTTCCATGTCTCTTTGTGGTCACCTCTATCATCTCTGGGCCGCATTCTGGATAACTGCTTCTCTTCCTCCTCCCCTGGACACAGCTACACATGCTTATACTTCCATCTGAAGCCTGGCTCTGTGTCTTGTGTTGCTCCTACTCTCACTCAGGGTGATCTCTTTGACTTTAAGCTGATTTATCTTTTACTATGTATTGGTTATTATTCTTGGAAACCCCTCAGAAATGCATTTAGGCCTGAAATGCAAAAGCCTTTGTCCAGGGACGCTATCTATCTGCTTCTCCTGGGTTCTTTCGAGCACTATCACTTTTAGAACCACTTGAAAGAAGTCAAGTTCATCGCCTGAGGTTCCCATGCCCTCCCGGAAATGGGAGCCCAGGTTTCAGGGATGTGTGTATGCCTGAGAGCAAGTGTGGGGGCGTGTGTGCGCCTGCAGGGTGGGGTGGGGTGGGGGGACACCTCTGGTTCACCCCTACTGAGGACAGCCCTGGAGGTCTCCAGCTTGTGTGCTCCGGGAGTGTTCCTTTTCACCCCTTCCCCCAGTGAGGCCATCAGAACAAGTGACACTCTGCTAGATTATCAGAATAGACTATCCCTCACAGGGGAAGGTCCAGGGCCCACCTACTCTGGGTTCCTTTTTCCTGTTAAGTTTGGCTCATTAATTGCACACTATCTTGATAGTTTTTCAGGCTTTTAAGATTTTTTAAAATGTTCTCTTGTATTTTTAAATTGTTTTCTTGTATTTTTTAATTGTTTTTTCGTTGTAAGGATTAGTCTAAATAAACTATCCCACCATTAAGACTCAGTTGCTATTATTTTTCCTATAAATAATTCAATATGTATTTCCTTAGAACAAGACTTTCTTGTGGATGAACTAGTGCAGCTAGCAGAAGTCAGTTCATTTAACATCGACAGAACATTATTGTTTAGTCCAAATCCTGTCCATTGTTTGCTGCTGCCATCTCACTTACCCTCTTCCTCACCTTCCACAGGATATGGAGTCTGGCCCGCCTCCCGTGTCACCCTAGTCCATCCCTGCTCCCTCTGCTTCCTCTCCATACAGCCTCCCGCCCAGGGCCCTGGCTTTCCAGCAGCTTCTCTTCCTACTGAACCGGCATGGCAAATCCACCATCCAGAATCAACCCAACCATAACCTTCCTTGCTGGGATCCCAGGATGCAGAGGCAAATCACAAAAGCATACTCATTTTGACTGTCATGTTTCCAACTTCAGGATTTCCCTAGTTCGCCTCCACTTACCCAGGAATGTGACCAATTCTCAACCACCTCATTCCTGACATGCTCTAAGTTACTGTCTTCTACTTTTAGTACAAGCCTTCTTGTACTAAAAAATTATGTTCACTGCACATCAGCCTGGGCAGGCAGGCGCCAGGAGTGATGAGGTTCCCCTCCCTTCAGAGACCAGCCTCCACCCTGTGTCCCCAGCACAGCCCTGGTACAGCTCCTGGACTCGAGGCCCTTTCCATAACCTATGGCTACATTCTCCCTTATCATTCTGAAATGAAAACTGTGAAAAACACAAGTACTACCACACTATCAACAGAATGTACTAACATAAAAGAGAAATGAACGGAACGTGTTACATAACACACTGTAGTTAAACTACAGATAGTCTGAATGTGAATGTGTAAACACAGTTACAGAAATTTTAGAAAATCTCCTCAAGTTTGCGGCCTCCCTAGAGGTAGCCCCTACACTGAGCATCTCTTAGGGGAGTGTTTCTTGGGCTCTGGGACCCATACCTGCCTCGTTTGCCTGTCTCAGCAGCTGGGCATCCTGCTTACCCCTTCTCCAGGGTCCTCCTCCTGCCCCCTTTAAACAGGGTGCCCCCGGGGCCTGCTGATTCATTAGGGAGTCATCACTCTGTGCATGTTATTCATGAGCTGATGACGACCCTGCCTTAGTTCCAGCCCAGCCTTCTGCACTGAGCTGCGGCTTCAGAGGTGGCCCAGGCACCTTCCCTCACCAGGCTCAACAGAGTAGTGTGCTCCCAGAATCTCCTGGTCTTTTGCACAGATGGGGGCAACTGGCTCCTCCCCATCTCCTGGTAGCCTCTTGCTCCTCTACTCTTGGTCCTCTACTCTTGGTCCTCTACTCTTGGTCTGCTCACTACCTAGCATGCTGAATGGTCTTTGAAAAGACAAACTAAATCACATGTTGCACAGGTGTGAAGCCCTCCCATGGTTTCCCGACACACCTGGAGTACAATCCTGGCTTCTCCTGTCCCGAGCACCCCCACAGCCTCCCTCTGATCTCACATCTGCCCTCTCCTTCCTTGGTCTTTTACACCATCCCAGCTCATTCCCTCCTGAGCCTCCCTGTCTTGGAAGCTCATCCTGCAAGATCTGCATTTGATCTCACTCCCCATCAGGGTCTCCAGACTCGCCCCTTCAGAAAGGCCTTCCCAGACACTCCTGCCCAAGGGACCCCCACCCACAGAGCCACCCCAGCCCTAAGGGGTTTCCTACTGTGATCAGTCCTCACAGTGATCAGTGAGATGTTGTATTACTTATATTTCCTGCATATTTCATTGTCTATCTTCCCTTGTTGATGACACCTTTGATAGGACAGGAACTTGGCCCAGCAACCTTGCTACTCAAGCCCCAGCACCTAGCAACTGTAGGGCCTCAATTAATGGGCGCTGACTCACTGACTCCAGGTCTCCTCAAATCCTTTTTCCAAGAGTCCCCCAACTCTCCTCTGTTTTGTCCCTTTGCTCTGACTTCATCTTTCTCCTCAGCCAGGAAGTATGCTCAGTCTTATGGGGAGAGGAGTTGGACCAAAAAGCCCGCTCTGCTGCCGAGGTGCAGCCTGCTGCAGAGCCAGTGTCTTAGTCAGCTTTTTCTCTGCTGTGACTAAAAGACCTCACAGGGCCGACTTTAGAGGAGGAAAGTTTATTCTGGAGCTCAAGTTCAGAGGTCTCAGTCCATAAACAACGACTCTGCTGCTCTGGGCAGAGTGAGGCTGACATCATGGCAGATGGGTGTGGTGAAGGAAACCAGCTCAGGACATGGCACCAGGAGCAGAGAGAGACAGACTTCTCCTCTCACGAAGGATAAAATACAGACCCCAAAGGCATGCCCCCAGTGACCCACCTCATCCAGTCGCACTGCACCAGCCTACAGTTCCCAGCAGTGAATCCCTATCGGGGGATCCGGGCTCTGATTCAGCTAGACTCGCATAACCCATCATTTCACTCTGAACTTTCTTGCACTGTCTCACACAGGAGCTTCGGGGGGACACCTAGATCTGAAGCATCATAGGGGGATGTTATGAAGAGTCTCCATCTCCAAGGAAGGGCATCATGGCTTCTTCTGAGATGGAAAACAGGGAGAGAGGCTGAGGAGGAGGGCTACTTTTCACGACTCATTCACCGAATCCTTTAAATTGTATTCCATGAGAGAATAAAAACCCTATCCAAAAGAATTACTGAGTATAAATCTAAACCAGGAAATGATACGAAGCCATCACTTCCCTTCCCCTCCAATAGCAAGGCCAGTGGTTCTTGTCCAGAGTGATTCCCTCCTAGAAGGGACTTTTGGTAATTTCTGGAGAAATGTCCACTGTTACACAACCAGGGGGTGCTGCTGGTATCTGATAGGCTCAACATCCTACAATATACAGGACAGTACTAAAACTGAGAATGATCTCCCCTAAACATCTGGCTGCTGAGGTTGCCATAGCAAGCAGGTCCCTGTACCCACCCTCCTGCTGTGCCTATGACCAGAGCCCCAGCTCCCTCACTGGTCACTCCCGTGAGCACTGTGTTT